TCAAATATTCTAAATGTGAATATTTTTTCTTAAGAAAATTTCATTCTTGGGACACATCGTCAGTGGAGAAGGAATATCTGTGAATCCATAAAATATTAACGCAGTAATAGAATGGCCAAGACCAATAAATATGACATAGGTCAGAAGTTTCTTGGGATTGGCAGGTTACTACAGAGGTTTGTTAAAGGCTTTTCTCAAATTGCTTTGCCTTAATCCACATTGACCAAGAAGGATATACAATGTGAATGGACTAATGATTGTGAGTAGAGTTTTCAATAATTAAAACAATGTTTAACAACTGCGCATGTATTGACAATTCATTCTAGAACTGAGAGATTTCAGTCGTTCAGTGATGCTTCTCTGAAAGGATTAGGTTGTATGCTGATATAAAATAGAAGGTTATTGCCTATGCTTCTAGATAGTTGAAGCCTTATAAAAAGAATTATCAAACTCATGATTTATAATTGACTGCGGTGATGTTTGCATAAAAAAATTTGGATGCACTACTTGTATGGTGTGAAATGTGAAATTTTTTACATATCATAAAAGTTGAAATATATTTTTACTCAGAAGTAATTAAATATATGACAAAGAAGATAGTTAGAAGTGATAAAAGATTATGATCTTGACATTAAGTACTGTCCGGATAAGGCTAATGTAGTGGTTGATGCATTAAGCAGAATGTCTAGGGAATAGATGAATTGAATGTTGACTTTAGAGGAAGGGTTAATTAAAGAGATGAAAGCCTTATAAGTGAAAGTCAGAATGAGAGATCAAGATTCAGTTAATCCTAATCAAATGACAAATTATCCTTCTTTAAAAGAAAGAATAACTGAAGCTCACAAGACTAGTATTGAATATCATAAGCTTGTTGAGCATTGGCAATAAGAAAAAAAAAAAGAATCTTAGTATAGATGATCAGGGAAGAATCAGGAGCCATGAGCATTTATGAATACCAAAAGAATATGATTTAATTTAGAAAATTCTATATGAGCTCATAATTCAGGTTATTTAATATATATACAGGAAGCACAAAGATATATAAAGATTTAAAGACTTTATTTTGATGGCCAAGAATAAAAAAAAAAAGATGTGACAGAATATGTGGTTAAATATGAAAAATGTAAAGTTGTTAAGGTTGAGTATTAGAAACCAGTGATATGTTACAATACAAATTTTAGAATAAATGTGGGGTACATTTTGTTAATGGATTTCCCAGATCAAGGCAAGGACATGATTATATATGGGTTGTGATTGATAAGCTCACAAAGTAGCACATTTTCTACCTATTCGTCAGACTGATTCTGTGAAAAATTTGATTAAGTTATTTGTGAATAAAATAATCATATTGTATGGAATTCCTAAGGCTATGGTGTCCAGGAGAGATGTATGTTTTACATCCAAATTGGAAGAGTATACATGAAAGTTTGGTCACCAAATTGAAGTTCAGTACAACATTTTATCCACAATTTGATAGTCAATTAGAAAGATTGATTCAAGTGCTAGAAAATTTGTTAAGATTATGTATTATGAATTTTGGAGATAGTTGAGAAGGTCATATTCTACTAATAGAGTTTACTTATAATAATAGCTACCAATCCAGTATCAAGATGGTTCCATATAAAGTTGTATATGATAGAAAATGCAGAACTTCCTTGAGTTGGTTTGAAGTTGGTGAAAAGCAATTATTGGGTCCACAATTAGTTAATCAACCTACTGAAAATTTCAGATTAATTAGAGACGGATTAAAAGCAACTCAAGGCCGATAGCATAAGTACTATTATCCTAAGCATAAAATGAGAGAATTTAAAATGAGAGATTTTGTATTCTTAAAGGTGAGACCAATGAAGGGTGTTACTAAAATTGGTCAAGATGAAAAAAAAAAACTCAGTCCTAGATTCATTGGCCAATTTGAGATTTTATATTAAAAAAAAATGACAAGTTGCTAAGAAGCTAGCATTACCGGTAGACATGTTTAATGTTCACAATATTTTTCATTTATCAATGCTCAGAAAATGGGTTACAAATGAAATTCAGAGAGTTTCTCATAATAGAATTGCACCTCAGAAAGAAGAAGATATGAAGCATAAATTTACTCACTTATTCGGGGAATTATGAAAAGTTGAATTTCGGGGACAAAATTCTAATAAGGAGGGAAGATTTGTAAGATTCTATTTTGCGCAAATGCTATCTACATATGTTGAAAGTTGCATTCATAATTCATTCTTCAGTCAACAAAATGTCCTTAATGAAATAAATCAGAATTAAGGTATATATTGTGCTATCAACTTTTATTGTTACGGCTGAGAATTTTGTTGAAAATGTTTCTGGCTCTGTTTATTAAATATTATTCAAATCAATTGTGATGCCTGTAGCAGTCATTTCCTTTTTTTTTTTGTAGATCCATCTTGAACTAGTTAAGATGATTTCTAAATCTTAATTAATTTTAGGATGCCAGGTTTCAATGTTTTAAAATAGGACTTTTTGGACTTAGATCAGTTCCTGCCTATAAGATTCAAAAATTCGGTATGAAAATACTTAAGTGAGTAATAGCAAATCTTTAAGTAATAAATTGTTGTTAAGTAATTAATAATTCTGAAAAGGTGCCTCCTTTAGGCGTGTGAGTATGAGAGCAGTTAGTGGGCTGGCTCTTATTTAATCCTAATTAATTTTTATTCACGTCAGCCAACTAATAGGGAATAGATATTTCTATTGGATAAGAATGGAAGCAGTTAGTGTAGTGTGTGGGCCCCTCTTCCTACCTTTTCACATAAACTAAGCTTTTCACTCTTACAAACGGTGAAGGATGATAATAAAGCACGGTATAGTGTTATGAAGAAAGAATAGGCTGCAGAGTGGCGTGCGGCTCTGAGCAATGCAGAAGATTTTCGGCACAATACTCTGAACGACACAGTGCATAATGAAGGGTGAGGAACCGTGTGAAGCCAGTATTTTATTGAGATTTTCGGCATAG